GAGAGGCTTTGGTGCTAGAGGGCCTCAAATCACATCCTATAATATAAAGCCACTAGCCAATTCCGTTGGATGGCTTCACCAAGATGAAGAAGAGGATTATAAGAAGGGAACAGGCACAAAGGCATAGAAGGCCAACTAGAAAAAAAAAAAAAAAAAAAAAACCCACCAACAAAGCCAAAAAAAAAAACAGCACTGACCCCATTTACACCACCTTGCTTCCCTGGAATCTGATACCAGTAAAGCGGGCACCTTAGCCATCACTGCTTGGCTTACCCTGCCACCTTGTGGCCGTATCCTAGACTGCACTAGGAGAACTGCCACCTAAAACCCAGGTGCCAGAGGAGCAATAAAACTAAATGGAACTCTAAAGCACACACTCACTCTTTCACTGCTTCTTTCAACTAACCTGTACAGATGGTTTCCAGGATGAGGACATTCATGGACGGTTGATATTGAAGGACTTCCTGGTTAGGGGTGGTGGGGCAGAGTCAGAGAAAAAGGACATGCCGAGTGGCAGTGTGGTGTGTACGAATTCACTGGTATGTTTGGGAAAGGATGCATTTCCCTATGTGACTCAATGTTAGGGAACACCAGGTAGAAGTAGTGGTAGCAGGGACAAAGTACAAAGAAGAGATGAGGATGGTGCCACTTTCTGAGAGCATGTCACCAGCCCCCCTCCCTCAAACAATTTCTGTCATAGGTTGAATTGTACATTTCCCAAAAATTCATATGTTGAAGTCCTAACTCCCATGCTTGAGAATATGACCTGATTTGGAAATAGGGTGGTTGTAGGTATCATCGGTGAAGATGAGGTCATCAGGCAGGCTCTACTCCAATTTGATTGGGATCCATAAAAAAAGGGGGAAGTTTGGAGACATAGGAAGAATGTCATGTGAAGAGGCAGACAGATATCAAGGTGATGCTTCTACAAGCGAAGGATTGTAAGCAAGCCACCAGAAGCTAGGGGAGAAGACTGTGATAGGATTCTTCCTCACAGCCCTCAGAAAGAACTAAAGGTGGACACCTTGATCTGACTCCTGGCCTTTAGAACTGTGAGACAATCCATTTCTGTTGTCAGAGTCACTCCACTGGTGGCAGCCCTAGCAAACCAAACCACCTGCAGAAAGATGGCTCCCATCAGCCATGTCAAGGAGGGCTGCTCTGTCTTGACAAAAGAGGCACTGCAGCTCCACAGAAGGGAAGAGAGACCCTTGAAAGCCCCGAGAAGGCTTCTGCCTGGTAAATCCTCAAAAAAACCCAGCCCTAACCAGTTTGACTCAGTGAACTGAGTCTCGGCCTGCGGACTGAATGGTCCCAGGTTCGATTCCACTTAAGGTTATGTACCTTGGTTGCAGGCACATTCCAGTGGGGGGCGTGCAGGAGGCAGCTGATCAGTGTTTCTCTCTCATCTATGTTTCTAACTCTATTCCTCTCCCTTCCTCTCTGTAAAACATCAATAATATATATATATATATATATATATATATATATATATATATATATATTTTTTTTTTTTTTTAAACAAAAACTTGCCATTCTGAGCCCACCCCTCGCAAAGCCCCTGAATCCTCAGGAATGCCATTTACCAGCTGTAATGTTGTAACTCTGTTTCTTTGAGATCCTGCTTCCATATTTGTCCATGTTTCGTTGGGACAATGTTACAAGCCAAACTAGGAGTCCATAGACCTCTTCCAAAGTTCTTGGCGCAACCTTTTAAGAGTGTCCTTTTCCCCTCTAGCATAGTTTCTTCATTTGTAGACTAGAATCATCATCACTAAGGCCCCTCTGGTTGTAATATTTGGCTCTGACCCTAAGCCTGCTTGTTACTCACTAACCTGCCTGCTTGATGTGCAAAAGGCAGGGAGAGCTCCAGGGAGCTCATCTCTGAGAAGTGCTCAGAAGGCTGTCATTGCTGCTGAATGAGTCAGCCTCACTTACTAAGAGGTTAACCCTGGGACTTAGGGAGTATTATAATAGTTCAGGCCGCCAAAATCCCTGAGTCCCCTTCCCAGACTGCAGAGCCCCCCTGCCTCAGTACCTGTATTTCTAGAAGGCCACTTCCTTAGGAATCACAGAGGATTTCTTCTCCTTCACTGAAGGTGATGGCCCTGGACACTGGATCATGTACGCTCCCAGGAGACTGGGCTCCTTCATGCCTCTTAGAAGCTTCCTGCAGATGCTTTGGGGCTTGGAGGAGCATTGTTTTTCCAAGTGGTTACAGTATTTGGGGTAGAGCACTTTTTGGGTCTTACCTGGGAGGGATCACAGCATGCCTCAGCCTTTAGTATCAAGAGCCTAGACTCAATTTAAGAGTATAAAAGGGTCTTCTGAGTGGCAGACACCCCAGAGACCTGGACACTTGAGTAAATTGTGCTGTTTACTCCGGTGGGATTGGGCCTAAACAGGCAGTCAGACATCCCTCTCGCAATCCAGGACCGCTGGCTCCCCATTACTCGCCTGCCTTCCTGATTGTCCCTAACTGCTTCTGCCTGCCAGCCTGATCACTCTCTAACCACTCTCATGCCAGCCTGATTATTGATGCCTAACTGCTCTCCTGCCAGCCCAAATGCCTCTAACCTGCCTGTGGTTGGTCGGCCTAGGATGCAGTGTCCATCCTTAGGCAAATTAGTGGTCAGGGGAGTGGTCACATGCTATGGGATATGGCTGCCCAAGTTCTGACTCCAACAGGGACTGAGACAAAGTTTCTGGTGGAGCAGCTTCTGTGGGCAGGTGCAGTATGATGTGTTTTTATGGGCCCCTGGTTCAATTGTAACTCTTGGGCACTGTCTCTATCCTGGAATTTCTGAGGTGAGCGTGCAGTTCCCATCCCCCATAAACTTTGTTTTGAAGGGTGACTTTGATAATTAATGTGATCATTTATACAAAAGTGCTTTGAATATCATAACCACCTCACAAATGCAAGATGTTATTATCACTGCTTAACACACTTATTGCTATGAGTTGCACAGAGAGAGGAATGGGGACCCAGATTCCAAAGATAGCCCCTTTTCCCCAAGAAAAGAAAATGATTGAAGTTTCACCAACTACCAGTTGTGTGAACTCAGACTAGTTAGCCACTACTTGGCTGAGTGACCTCTGCCAAGTCCCTGCCTCAGTTTCCTTATATCTGAAATGGGAACATTTGCATCTGTTCTTCCTTGTCTCGGATTGAAGTGAGGAGTGGAAGCCCACCCTCCACTCTCTGTCCCAGGACACTGGGTGAGGATAGTAGGCGAGTTCTTGCATGTCTCCTATCTCAGTCCTTTCATGGGTAGATGACAGACTTGAATTAGGTGATCCTTATCATCCTCCATCCTTTCCAGCTTCTAAGCTGCTCTGCTTGATTCCAACCACCCCTCTTCTCTGGGTCTACCCTCCAACCACCACCCTGGTCCTGAGAAACCCTCCCCTTAAAAATCCCACAAAACAGAGAAGGACCTCAGGCGCTGCTGTTTTGAAAGTTAATGTGTTTGTGAAATGTTGCCTTCATGTCAGGCTTTTGTAATAAAAAATTCTCTATTCCCTTTGCTTATCTGTTTAGAGATGTTTGCTTTTTACTTGTTATTGATTGTCAATTGGCTACAGTTACTCTTTGATCTTCCTTTTTGTTTGAACTTGAAGCCACCCACACTGTCTGCCTAGCCCCCCCTAGACTCTTTATTAAACAGTAATGATATATAAACAAACGCCTAGTCCCTCAGGGAACCAAGGGGTTCTGGGGCCAGCCTCCCTCGGGCCTGTGAATTGTCATTCCTGAAGCTGTCTGTTTTTTAAGTTCTTTTGCCAAGTTTCTATGGGAGCAGAGGGATCACTTTCTCCCTTTTCAAAGAGCAGGGTGAGCTGAGGCCTCGAGCTGGCAAGTTCTTTAAAGTCATTTTCAAAGGAAACCTGAGCTGGAAGGCCATGTGGCTGGCAGAGGGTAGTGTGACTTTCGGAGGCTCTCTCTGGGGCTTTGGGTGGTCAGCTCCTGGGAGCTTCCCAGCACGTGCTCAGGGCCTGCTGCAAAGGCACTGCCAGGACACACCATCCTGCCACCGGCCACCCAAGCACTCAGGAAAGGCTTTGCTCCATGTCCCTGCCCCGCAGGCAGGGGGGTATACAGACTTTCTCCTCTGGACCAGGGGCCAGGACCATGCTGGTCCTCACTGTTCCTAGGCCTCGTCAATCAAACTTGGGGTTTTTTGAGGTAAAGCAAAACTAGGTTGAATTTATGTCTGAATCATGACATCATAAGTGATCTAGATAATCCAATCCCTTCACGGGCAGGCTGGGATGGGGACCCCGAGAATAATGATTGTCTCCCACACATGGGAGGAGCTGGCTGAACTCCACCAGAGTTCTTTGGACATGGACCACTCTGCAGTGATGGAGGTCTGTCTGGCTAGCAGCCATTCATAAAGGTTCCAAGTCTATAGATGTTTGCCCACCGCTTAGCAGATACCAGAAAGACACCGATGCTGAGAGATGTATGACTGGGGCCACAGGCCTTCATGCCATCCTCCAGTCTAGACCCAAGCAGAGTTGTTTATTAAGCCAGAAGGCAAAATGAACCCTCTTCCATCCCAGAATGGGCAAGTTCTCCAAGCTCGGAGGAGGAATGGACTCACATACACTTGTGTCAAAAGAGCTAGAACTGAAGTCACCAAAAGCTCAGCCTAGAACCCTGAGTGGAAAACAAACAACAACAACAAAAACACAGAGGAGGGGACCAGCCAGAAAGAGAGGTGAGAGATCCATCCAAAACCCCCCACCGAAGGTCACTACCAGGGTCTGGTGTTTGTGATCCCTCCTAGGGCTGGGAGATGGAGCCCTGGCCTTGGTTCCTACACTCCCCCTGCCTTCGGCCCTGAGCACTCCCCACTGTGTTAAGAGCAGAGTAAACCAGACCCATTTAAGTTCCGATTCCAACGCAAAGAAAGACCCCTGAACAAGGTGACTCAACTTTTCAACATTTTATTCTTGTATTTGTACAGCTATATGTTACAACGCAGTAATGCAGTTTAGACACAGCCAAACCCTGTCTCCGGAGCAGTTCTAACACAAGCACGACGCAGAATGTGATGGATGAGACAAACATTCCCAAAGAGGCTGTTAGCCACAACTTCCAGTCCCTGTGTCTGCCTACACTTCAGAAAGGGATGGAGCGCTCGCCCATCCATCGTTGAAAACTTCCATGAAAAAGGCACCGTAGGACACGTTGTATAGGTATATACAAACCGGAAACTAGAACAAAACACATTTTTTCCTTCCGCAGCTTTTTTTGTTCTTTTTTTTTTTTTAATACACACTTGTAAATTGTAAACCTTCACTTGCAAAAAAATACAAATACACTGAGGCATTTTAGACAAAATATTTTCTTACTTAAACAGATGCAATACTTAAAATAGTCTCTTAAGTGCTCTTTCTCAATAAAGATTCTCAGATCCGTGTCTGCCTGCAGATACAAAATCGAGCCTTTAACGCAATGTCATATTTTTAATATATCTTTTTTAGGTTTATATATATTTATTATATATATATATTTATATATTTACAACTCTGCCATATATTCCTTCACCTTTGGTTAAAAAAATTAAAGCCCTCTGTTTGATAACATACCGAAGTCTCTTCTTTTAAAAGAAAGCACATTTACATACAAAAGAAACATCTGTTCCCACAAAACATATACATTCCTCATTTTGCAGACTAAGTCAAGTCAGAGCTTTTGCCTACTCCCCCACTTGGCTGTACAAAATGATTCTGCTTTTTTTGCTGACATGGTTTGCCTTGCACATAGGAGAAGAAGCAATATTATTTTCTTAATGTTGGATGGCAGTGGGGGAAGGGGAGCTGTCTTGGCTCCCGTTCCCCACGCCTCCCCCCACCCCCACCCCCCATACCCAGCTATGATTTGCACTAGTTGATGAAAGAGGCACTACATCATGGGATGAATGCTGTAAAGTGTTACAGTATCCTTTGGGTAGATTCTGAGAAGGGGCTTGAATGGAAAGCGTCAACACTCCATGCTTCAGCAGGCCTTGGGCAGTTCTGGGGGCAGGTCGGTGGCAGACACGCGGTATTGCACCTTGGTGTTGGTGATGGCGCCGTGCTTCTGGCGCAAGTGGAGACGCAGCTGGCTTTTGTGACGGAAATGCAGGTTACACTTCTCGCACTGAGGGAAAACCAGAGGTAAACGGTTAGCTGTTGTTGATCCAAGAAACACATCATTGTTCAAAGACCCAGAGAAGGAGCTTCGCCCTGTCTCCCTGTGAGTCAGCCAGGAGCTGTTTCCTCTTAGTGGCCAGGTTATGAGCCCACCTGAATCTGGGGTCCTGCTAAGGGATCAGTACCGCTTTGTGCCAATGTCCCTTCTCTGCTTTCCAAAACGTGGCTCATACTTTTCTCCTGCTTAAACTGTATTTCCCTGACTTAACTCCACAAGTTCAAATCTTATCCAAAAGTGCAGCTCAGATGAAAACTCCCCTAATTATTAAGGAATCCCTAAATCTCTCTAGAATGAAAAGACCCTTTGAACTCCTGTAAGATTTCTAGCCTTGTCTTATTAGGTGGGAAATGCTTAGTATGACTCCTTACTAAACTTCATAATCTACTTAAGTATCTAGTAGAATATACTTCTTAGGCAATTACACATTAAGTCTGAATACATTTGGACAAATGGACTGAATCATGAAAATTAATGAGTCTAAAGATATGCCTTAAAAACACAGCTAGACTCCTTCTTACTTTAAGTAAGCTAACAAGGCATCCCCAAGTAGAGCTGTTTCTAACTTTGATTCAATGAATGGATGCTAATGGTTTTAGTGGAAGAGTTACTTAAAAGTTAAATGAATGATTCTATGGGGTAACCTGAATATAATCCTCGAAGAGAAAAAGGGAAATTTAGGTAAAAAGTAAAAATATCCAAATAAAGTATGGACTTTAGTTTGCAATAACGTATCAATATGGGATCATTAGTTGTGTCATCCTGATGTAAGACATTAACAACAGGGGAAACTGAGCACACCTAGGAGCTCCCTGCACCTCCTTTGCAACTTTTCTATAAATGTAAATATCTGTGTTTTCTGATGGTCTCAGGCGACCCTGTTAGCGGTTCTCAGCCTGTGTCTCAACCTACAGGTTGAGAACCACTGCTGTAGAGCCTAAGACCATAAAAAAACACAGATATTTACATTACAATTCACAGCTAACAAAATTACAGTTATGAAGTAACAACAAAAATAACTTTATGGTTGGGAGTCACCACAACATGAGGAACTGTAACAAAGGGTCGCTGCATTAGAAAGGTTGAGAACCGCTGTTCTAGAGGATAATTATAATAGCAAATAGTTATTTTCCTCTTACTACATGTCTACCGCTCTGCGCACTTCAGCAAATCCATTAACTTAATATAACTCTATATGTTAGGTCCTCTACTGGGCTCAATTTATAGGTAATAAAATTAAGGTACTGAGAGAATAACCAATAAGCTCAAAGAATAAATAGCATGTAAAAATATATTCATTCAAGGACTGGTAAACAAAACAATGAAAATAACCCCATTTTGCTGCTAACATTTGTGCTATGGGTTAACCATTCATCAATTCGTTCTTGTGCTCATCACTAACTAGAATGATGCCATATTCTCTTTTCAGGTTAAATGGAAACTAGAAAAGATAAAAGAGGCTGCTGTCTCAATACTGCCCTGAAGGGCCACAGACCTCAGTGACTCCGAAAGAGCACAATTTGAAAACTGTGGGGTAGGGCTTGCCCAAGGCCAGAATAAGAACCGAGATATCTCAGCCTGCCTGTCCAGTGTCTTCCCCCTCTATAGCAGAGATCTGCAAACTATTCCTCTATGGAGCCAGACAGTAAATATTTTAGGTTTCGTGGGATATTTTACATTCTCTAACACAACCACTCAGCTCTGCTGCTGTGTTGTCAAAAGTGGCCACAGATAATCCATAAATTAGTAGCAAGGCTGTGTTCCAATAAAACCTTGCTTATGGACTTTGAAATTTAAATCTTGTAAAATTTGCACATATCACAAATATTGTTCTTTTTGTTTTTTACACACTTGAGGGTTAAAAATAAATTAGCTTATAAGCCATTAATCTGCACAGTCCCTGCCATGGAACACCATGATTCTGATGGGCCAAGCATGGCTTCTGGCTGCTGGCTACCTTTCCTTCTTCAAATGTTCGTTTCTCTGTTTTATTTTATGTCATCACATTCTTCTACCCCTAATGCTGTGGTTGGCTGCTCCTTCTCATCTCCTTAGCTTATCTTCAGTAGACAACAAGCCCAGCACTGAGGCATACAGTAAGCACTCCATAGCATTTTGAAATGAATAAATGAATGACTCTATCATTTATGTATTTGTAATTCAGGACTCTTTCCTAAGGCCCAGCTCACTAATAGCCCTACTTTAAATATCAGCAAACTGAGACACAGGCCAAAAAGGGTTTCTTTGAAAAATCAGGCCCAAATCCACGGCTATGACCATAAGTCCAGTGACCATCCCATTGGGCACCTGAGACAAGAGCAAACAGTTCTGCTGCCCTGCCACTCCATATCCTTGTCCCTCCCAGGTCAACCAGTAGCCACAAAGGCTCCCTTACATGGTAAGGTTTCTCTCCCGTGTGGATTCGCAGGTGGCTCTTTAGAGTCTGCAGATGCCGGAAACGGGTGCCACAGATTTCACACGGATAGGGCTTCTCGCCAGTATGGATAAGCACGTGGGCACGGAGGTGAGCCACCTGGACAGAAAAGCAAAGCGTGAGAGGCTCTGTCGGGGTGAGCTGCACCCCCCTGGGCAGTCACGTGCCCAGGCTGAGGGGCCCTTTCCCCGTGCCCCCAGCTCACCTGTACAAATCTGGCTCCGCAGGTTTCACATTTGTAGGGCTTCTCTCCAGAGTGAATTCGAGTGTGGGTTTTCAGGTTCGCCGGTCGGTTGAACTGGGCCCCACAGATGTTACAACGATAGGGTTTCTCACCTATTACCAAGGGAAAAGGAAAAAGGATAGCTATACTCAATGGAGGTCAACATAGTCCCTGGCTCCTACGTTTCAAAGCAAGCTGCCCTTCCCAGGGCTGTTTTGACTTTCTGTCCCTTAGAAGGTGTCAAAGAGAGGATCCAGGGGCCTGCCTCCCCTATCCCCATACAGACAACAGCACCCCTTGGTCACAGTTTAAAAGCACGGAGGAGTAGAAACAATACTGGTGTGGAACAGCGATAGAGTGAAGTTCCAGGAAGCCCTGGAACCAGCTTTGTCATCAGGATCATCTAACAGTGGGACTCGGAAAAGTGACTCTCTTTCTCTGGGCCTCAGTTTCCCTCTCTAGAACCCGAGGGGCGAATGTTGATGGCTTGGAAAAGCTCTCTGTTTGGATAAGAATGATTCAGTAGTCAACCCACTGAGATACCATCAGGCTGTTCTAGTTTCTTTCAAAACAAACGTGCTTTTCCGCTTGTGGCAACTACAGCTGGATTCCATTTGCAAAGGAGGTGGGGCTTGAGTTGGATTTGATGTTCAAACAGAGAAAGCTAATAGAGGGCTATGCCTTCCTTCATGGAAAGTTTCTGAGATAAAGGACCCATTTAAAATACCAAGAGAGAGTCAACTTTGGACAACAATCCGGTTATTAGAAGCTACCTGGTAAAGGAATGTGAGTTGATAAGGAATAGGCCCTTAGAGGAAATCAAGAGGCCTTTAGTTTTGTTTGTTTTTTTCTGGCTTTGCAAAAACCCAATCTATTTCGTGTCTCTCAGCCTTAGTTTCTCCTCCTCAACAGTGGGAAACTGTCTCTAGCGAAAGAAGAGAAGCAAAACAGAGCAGCTCAGAGAAAATTCGAAGGGTACATGGAGTGGACCAGCCACTAAGCAAAGATGTGACAGGGCCAGAGCCCTCATTCAGGCCAGTACGGGGCCTGCTCTCTACCTCACCCCACTGGTACCAAGCCCCCAGACTGCTTTCTCTGGAATCCTCTCCCTTTCCTGACCCTAGTGACATCAGCAAGCTCAGGTGGGGTGGGGCAGGGCCATACCTGTATGGACGGTCTTGTGGCTGGCAAGATTGCCCTTATAGCGGAAAGAGGCCTGGCAGCGGTCACACTTGTAGGGTTTGTCACTGTGAGTCTGCAGCATGTGCCTCTTGAGCGAGGCCTCCTCAGAGAAGCGGCAGTCACACTCATTGCAGAAGAAGGCCCCATTCTCTGTCAAAAGGTAGGAGGGGACACTCTCATTAGCGGGAGCAAGAGAGATGGGGCTCCAAGGCCCTTTACCTCCATAGCCACCCCAGCACCCCTGTCCACCCAACATACAAGGGAGCCCCGAGCCAAGGGCCTGTGGAGATTTTCTGTTTCTTAGCATTTAGAATCTCAGTCACAAAGGAGAAAGGACACATTTGAATACTAAGGAAGCTCGAACCAGCAGATACCCACATGGCCCACAGCAGCTTGAGGAAAGCACCTTGGGGCTCTCCCTTTTCTGGAGAGTGCTGGGAACTGGCTGCTCTTATCAGTTCACAGTTTTATTTGTATTCATTCACAGATGCACTTCAGGTCCCTGAGCCTCAGTCTGTGTCTCTATCTCCAAAATCATGATAATAACCCCTGCCCTACCTGCTTCATGGGAACACCTGACATAACAAAAGCAGCATAGGAATGTAAGATTAAATCAAATGCAATGCTACTTTGAAGTCATTTGGGAAGACCCATGACAAACACGGTCACCCTTGCACCAATCTGCCTTTCAAATCTCCCAAAGATTTGTGAGACCGGGAGACTACAGACGATGATGGGAGTGGAAATAGAGGCCCAGAGAGAAGGAGCTCGAGTGCAGAACAAAGGGGGACAGCCTTGCTCTCTTAACCATAGGTCCACAACCCTGTGCGCCAAGCCTCTCAGTGTAAATAATCTATTTTTTCCTTGGTTATAATAATTTGAAAATGACATCTCATGGTGGTCCAGCCCTGATTCGATATTTCTGCACTGTATTAGGGGATCCAGAGCTGCAGGAAGACATAGACTTTTTCATCTGGTAAAAACTGGGGATGTCAAACACAGACTATTTAGAAACTTCAATTTAATAGTTCTGTTCAACTAATCTAGTTCAGCTAACATTTCCTGAGTACCCACTCTGCTCTAAAGACTCCCTTGGGCCTATGGGAGATGCAGGAGTGAGTAAGTTCAGATGCTTCCTCTCTGGAATGGACAACCCAGCATTTTAGGTCCAGAGGGGCTAAGAAAGCACTGGGAGTTACAGCCCAACAAGCTTCCTTTTTCCGGAATGAAGCTACCAAGTCTCTTTGCTCATTCTCTGTTGCCCAAGGTGAACTCTTTACACTCCATCTTCTGCTTTGGTCTACCTAGTTCCCTACAAGGTCAAGAGTGGAGCGACCAGCTAGTGCCAGTGGATTTCATCAGGAATTTCTCCCAATCAGTGTCAATGCGTAAATACTAGTACAGTGGAACACAAACCCTACAAAGCAGAGGCAGGGGTGGGCCTTCTCCCTGGCCGGAGGGGGCAAAGGGTAGGACTCACCACAGCTGGAATCCGAGTACTCAGAGTGGGTCTCTCCCATTTCCTCCGGGAACGTGGGGCCGGTGGTGTGGAGGCACATTTCCGTGTGCTGTGGGGACTGAGAGCCACAGGACGTGCACTTCGGAGGGTGAAGGTAGAGGGGTGAGTGGCTCTCGCTGCTGCTGCGGGGGGAGCCTGTCAGAGACCTGTGGGAGGAAGAACAGAGTTTCAGCTGCTGAAGCAAAGGGGATCCCTTCCCTGGGCCCCACTCCTGGACCTAGTTTCTTTCCCACAGTACAGAGGAGGGAATTCCCTGGCTTGCTGTGGAAAAATCGCCTTCCTTACTGAGGCTAATTCAATCAGTAGGCACTTGTCCCACTCCTCTGGTATGCTTCACATTTTAGTCAAGAAAAGAGCATGGCTTCTGCGTCCCTCAGAAGTGACCCTGGAACTCTGCTGGGTAACCCTGAGCCCAGGCCTAGACTGCCACTGCACTCACCTGTTGACGATATTATTGAGTCGGCTGGCCTGTGGGATGGTGGAGTCCTCCCCACTGGCACTGAGCTTCGCTGGAGACTGGAGGTCAAGGTTCTCCGGCTCCATGGGTGGCTGGCAGGCCGGTGGGGCAGGATAGGCCCGAGGGGAAAGGCGGGCCAGCTCGGCCTGCTCGGGCTCCTCAGGCTTGGCATTCTGGTTGAGGCTATTGAGCACAATAAACTTGTATTTCTTCCAGTTGCAGGCTTTGGGGTCGGTGGGGCTCTTGGCTGGAGGGGAGCCAGAGGTCTGAAGGATGCACGCGTTCTTGCTGCTGCAGGACTCTGTGGGAGAGTTGGGCTGGCAGTCGGACTTCTGGGGGCTCTGGGGACTAACCAGACCCTTCCGGTTTAGGGGGGCATTGTGGGGCTCGAAGTGCAGGGCGATTTCATCCTCTGAGGAGGGTCTCTCTTCCTCCTTGCCAGATTTATCACAGGGGAAGTATGAAACATTCCGGCCTGAAGGGGCAGCTGGCTTGGGGCCCTCGGCCACACTGTAGTGCATGTCACTCCGTGCCTCCTCTGGGGCCACCTCCTTGGGTGAGTAGAGACTGTGGCACACACTTGGGGGCATCTCCATGGCCACCCGGCTGTACTCCCCAGGCATTGGCCTGGCACTATCGCAAGGGAGGGTCCGCTCCTTGGGGAAGGGGTTGGCCACAGGCATCCGGGCATCCCGCAGCTCCTCATCGGAGAAGAGGAAGCTGCTGACGGGGAGGTGGCTGTACACGGGGTAAGACGCTGGCGGTGTGGACAGGCCACTGTACAGGCTGGGGGCGAAGGCTCTGCTCTCACACCCAGGGGGGTTTCTCAGTGGCAGGTTGTTCTCCATCACCTCACGGCCCCGATAGGCCATGATGTCTTGGGGCATCAGCATTCTGTTGTTCAGATACTCTTCACGGGGAGGCTTGATGGGAGGAACCATCTCTGCTTCACTGCAGGAGAAAGCAAGAGAAGACAACGGCCTCCGAATTAGCACTACTAAACAGATGACCTTCCAAAAGCCACTATCTGTGCAATCACAGTTGTGCTTGGGCCAACCAGACATAGAAAATGTGGCTTTTAAGTAGGGAAACACGTGCAATTACCATCGCTAATGCTTGAAGTCTGGCAATCTAGCCCACTCTTGGGTAAATAGGCCTAGAGAAGAGAAGAGAGTTACCCATACAATCTGAGCCTGTTTAAGTCACATACATGTGTAGGAACGTGAATCTGCAATTCTTTGGATTATTATGGAGTGGAAAGCTTTCCGAGCCCTTATCTCAGTTCACCCAGACAAAGTTCTGCAAGGAAGGGAATACTCGGTTACCACAGGCCATATTTTATACACACGGAAACCGAGGCTCAGGGAGGGAAGAATTCATAGTCCTGGTGCCATATGTGCAGAGGGTTATAGAAAACTGGTGCCCTGGGGGGAAAATGACTCGGACCATAGGTAAGTGTACTTTGGAAAATAGGCAGCCTTGCTTGTACAGGAAGCCCTGACTATGAAACAGCCAGACCTGGCTTCCAATCCCAGCTGAGCCACTTAGCAGCTGTGTGACCTGGAGCAAGTTACTTAACAGCTCCAAGCACAGGGCCTGACCTAGAGAAAGCAGAAATGATGGCTTTGATGATCTTGCCACCATTATCACCCGCAGGAGACAAAGAGTTCAAGTTGCATATACTGGAAGGATCATTATGTGGGCAAAATATAGGCCAATTCAAACACAGTCACAGTTAATAGAGCTAGAACCAATGAGTGAAGATTAGGGAATCCATTTCAACTCTCCATAAAGAGGAGCTTTCTGACCGTCCAAGGTAGACTGCGTGGCTATGGGAACACTGCATTTCCAGCTCTTGGTTGGCTTCAAACAGAGGCTAGAAACCCTTCTGTTTGACAAGGGTTGCAATCACCCTAGAGCCGTGGTCAGCAAACTGCGGCACATGTGTTTCTTTGGCCCCTTGAGTGTGGCTCTTTCACAAAATACCACAGCCTGGGCACGTCTATTTTAAAGGAGTAACATTAGGAGAAGTTTAAGTTTAAAAAATTTGGCTCAAAAGAAATTTCAATCACTGTACTGTTGATATTTGGCTCTGTTGACTAATGAGTTTGCTGGCCACTGCCCCAGAGCAGTGAATCAAATGGTTCTAAACAAAGCTCCTCCTTTCTTTGGCTCTCGGATTCCTCACCTTTACATAATGGTATGACTTCCCAGCCCTTGGATAGGGAGTTAGCTAAAATAGAAGAAAAATCTAAAGGATAGGCAAAGGCTTTGGAACAGAGAGAAAGAGCAGAAGGAAGAGCTGAGTGATAATCATAAAAACATCCACAGAGGAGCTGGCATCCATGCATGGCCTTACAGAGTAGGAGGGAGGAAAGGGCATGTCAAGTGAATAGGACAGAGCTGGAGGTGAGGATGCACAAGGCATATCTGGAGATCAGTAAGGAGTCAAGTTGGCTGGAGCACAGGATTTTGTAAGGGCAGAAGTGTACAAAAATAGAGGAAATGTAGGTTGTGACACATTATAGAGGATTTTTTTTTTCCTGTATGCATGTAATGTTCAGGGTTTCTCATCCCTTCTGATCCCTCTTATCTCCCAGGCTTCCACCTGGTAGAGCAGCTCACCTGGCCTTGATAAACTTCCGGCAAGTGTCCACGACATGCTCCATCTGCAGGTACATAGCTGTGGCCATCACGGCCATAATGTTGCCCTCCCGCAGGTTGAGCCGAGATGTGTACATGAAGTCCAGGAGGATGCAGAACCCCTCAGGGTTAATCTCAGGATCCAGGTTGATCACACTAAGGTTGCATTTCAACTGGTCTGTGAAGATGCTGTAGAACAGGCCACTGCAAAACAAACATATGTCTCACTATAGCAGGCATATAGACTCTCCTCAATTACAGTCAGCATCATGTGCAGCCCCTCTCCCCAGACCCTACCTCCAAAACTTCCACAGCGATTAATAAGAGTGCCATTTAAGGAGTGCTTACCAAATGCCAATGAGTCATTAAGCACTTTTTATATATTACTAGAGGCCTAGTGCATGAAATTTGTGCACTCTGGGGGGATCCCTCAGCCCAGTCTGCACCCTCTTGCAGTCTGGAAGCTTCAGAGGATGTCTGACTGCCATAGAGATGGGAGAGGCTCCCACCACCGCTGCTGCACTCACCTGTGGGAACCCACGGACCACCAGGGGGCAACTCCTGGATTGAGCATCTGCCATCTGGTGGCCAGTGTGTATTATAGCAACCAGTCATTCTGCTGTTTGGTCCCTTTGCCTTATATAGGATTCTTTTTATTATATAGGATTCTTCACAACCTTGCCAGGTAGATTCTATCATTCTCCCTCTTTTCAAATGAGGAAATGAAGATCAGAGATGTTAAGTGTGTCTCTCAAAGTCCCAGAACCTGTATTCCTTTTAGTGTTGTAACTGCACAGATGATCAGAGTTCATTTTAATACTCATCTGCAGTGACTATTTTTTATCCATATCTTTAAGATAAGCCTTGGTCCATCTCTTTATTCTTATTTTACAACTCTTACTGTATTTTTTTAAAAACCAAGTTGAGTAATGATAAATCAATAAATTGATGCCTACATTTACATTCTACTGATTTTTTTCTAAAATCCCATAAACTATCACAAGTTTAATATTCCTAGAAGGTCCAAGTCAAGTCTCCAGGTAGCATGCTGTCTGGCTGAGGAAAGAGCCCTCAGAAGCCAAAAATCAGGGCTGCCACCTCAAGTCTACTCTTTCTGAGTGTGTTGCAGAAGTGAGCTCCACTTCCACCAGTAAGAAGGAATGCAGCCTTGGGCAAGATACTTCTCTATACCTTGGTTCCTTATCTGCAAAGAAAAAACAATAGTATCTACCTTACAGGGTTGAGGCAAGAATATATAAAGGGTATAAAATGATGCTGGCAGATAGTAAGCACTAGGTTACCATTAATTAAAAGAATAGGTGCTTCTTGTGTATGTTGAATAAGTTCCCTACTAGCAATTGATTCACCTGCCAGTGTCCTTGCTTTAGCGTTTATATAATGGAGGCAATCATGCCATCCATGACACAGGCCATTATGAAGATCCAGGGAGATGATGTAATAAAAAACTGCTGTGAACATTTGAATATATGAAGAAATAGCTGGCTCACTTTTACTAATTTACCCATGAAAATACAGCCACGGTATGAAAGAAACACAATTATGGAATAAGAGAGCAAACTATTTCAAATTAGCTTGCTTAACATATTTTAAAAATCTCTTTCACTTTTCATTTTTTGGCACATGTGAACTGAAGTTATTCTCCATGTTTGCTCCAAACACACCCATTCTTGAGACAGTATCTGATTTCTTCTCCCTCTATTCCCACAGAACAGAAACTCTTTCTCGAAAGGTGTGGGCATTCATTCCCTTTCTGGGGGGCTACCCAGCCAGGCCCTATGCTGGACATCTGGACACAAATCAGTTGTGATCCTAAACCCAGCAGAAGGTCCACATGTTCCACCACGTCTGCTATCAGCACCATCACTCCCCTTGTATTCAATTACTTTTCCCTTCCAGACCCTCACCTGCAGGCCATGAGGACTGTCTTATGGGCTCTAAACTGCTCTCGGCTCACCACTATGACAACATCAGTCAAGATGTCCCGGCTCCGGAGGCGATTAAGGTTGAGAAGTACGTCACTGGCATGGCGGGTGAACTGGATACAGCTATCAGCCGGCGAGGCCATTTTGTCTTCACCTGCAAAAAAGGAGTCAAAATCTTATTAGTTAACCAGAGCTAACCAGAGCATGAAATGCAAACTGAGTCCCCTTGTGTTTGGTCTTTAAGTAATTCATGGCCCATCTCTGGGCATTACTGTTCACATCTGTAAAATGGGGAGAATAATTTTTATCCAACAAATCAGCATAGAAAGCCCTTTATAGAAAAGGGGAAGGGAATGAATATTGTTGAGTGTTTTCCCCACATACCAAATACTCTACCAGCATTGAGAGGCAGTGAGTGTATGACAGGAGAGAGAACCAGGTTTTGAAAGTTAGCATACTAGCTTGACCTTTTTTTAGCTGTGTGACTTGGAGCTGATTGCTCCATGTTTCTGGGCTTTGGTTTCCCAAAACGAGAGTAGTAATACCTATGTAGTTATAAAATTAGAGATATGTGCCTGATCTATAAGTCTAGGTTCTGAAAAATTATAGCTATTCTCATCAGTATCTCATTTCTCCTCTATTAGGCTTTAGAATTATCTCCATGCTCCAACAAGCACCCAGCACATTGCTAGTGGATAGTAGGTGGCTAAATTAATTTGAACTAAGAAATAATTTGGGGAATGAATGACCACACAACAGTGGTTAAGACAGTCTAATGCAGGGTTACAGGATGAGGGCTGGGAGTGACAGAGAAGGAATAAGCAATCCTTCACCTCATCTAATGAAAAATGGCAAAGTCCACAGAAACATATGCATTGGCAAATTCAAAAGAAACAGTTTCCCCACAAAATGTTAAGGCATATAATTCAATTTACTTACCCAATGCCTTGATTCACAGTCCAAAATTCTGCTTAAAACCTGCAGGAAAGAGAAAAAAAACAAACAGAAATCGATTTAATGAGGGTAAGATTGTCCACTATAGTCTTATTTTAGGACGCACGTAGTTAGTTTTACTTTGATAGCTGCAGCCTGCCAGCTGGTGCAGTTTTACCATAAGCTAGGAAACAGTTTTCCAGTTCTGCTCTTATGAAAACAACAGGCACCCGAAGCCATGCGATAATGTTTATACCCTGAGTACTGGGGATACGGTACATACATTAATTGCATATACATCTACACATATGTTTCCTTTCTCAATGTAAACAATGTTCTCTACCTCAAAGCGAGTGCATTTGTGGAAAAGAAAACATTTAAAGAAAGAAAAAAAATCAGCATTAATAAGGATGACCATTCAGGGGCCTAAAAACGTTGGACGCTTTTTGAAACCTGCTAAAATATTATTTTTTAAAGTCTTATAATGATTCCACAAGGCCAACAAGGTAAAGCTCTTTACCCCGATTTCCCTGGTGACAAAACTGAGTCTCGGGTTCAAGTGGTTTTCTCACAACAAAACAGTCAGGCAGTACTTCCTGACTGTCTGAAACACTGAAGACTGAATCTGCAGAATACAACTGAGGTAGCCTAGCTATGCTTTTCTTAAGGATCTTTGCCTTTATTTAAAAGTTTCCTCTCCCTTGCTGAAACCAGTTTGGCTCAGTGGATAGAGTGTCGGTCTGCGGACTGAAAGGTCCCAGGTTCGATTCCGGTCAAAGGCATGTACATTGGTTGTGGGCAAATCCCTGATAGGGGGTGTGCAAGAGGCAGCTGGTCAATGTTTCTCTCTCATTGACATTTCTAGCTCTCTATCTCTCTCCCTTCCTCTCCATAAAAAAATCAATAAAATATATTTAAAAATAAATAAATAAATAAATAAATAAATAAACAAATAAATAAATAAAAGTTTCCTCTCCCTTCCCACTTGGGTCTAAGACAAAATATACTGCCACAATCTTGCAAGTTTGTGCTTCCCCCTGCTGGTGAAAATATTTATTTATCTGATTTAGCTGTGAAATGGCCAGGGAGCACTAATGAAATTTGTAGTGCTTTAAAGTTGGTTTCTTTAAAACAAAATAATTTAAAAGTATAGGTGGAAGACTCTCCTTTATGACAGTATATGAGCTACAGAACAATGACAGAAAAAAAACTATCTTAGCCCTCTTCCCCATCCCCTTTTAAAAAAAAGCTTAGGCCTTAGTTATTTTCCAGGTAAAGGGCCCCCGAGGCCAGGGAGGTCTTGTTAGACCACATAGATGGTGAATAGCCCAGCCCTAGGTCTTCTGGCTCAAATTCCTGACCCTTTCCAAATCGGCCTACGTGCTGTAGAACATGCAAGACAGCACCCTGACGTGGGTGAATCTCATTTTTAAGTTCCTCCCCCCACACAAACACTTTGCCCCCATTCCAGGCTGCTGAGTCTTACCAAATGAGCACTAACATGAGAGGTTTCCTTGAGTCTGTAACCAAACACTCTGACAATTCTCTGTGGTCCCAAGTGCCCGTCACTCAATCTCATCGGCTTCAAGGTTAGGTGTGTATGTATGTGAGTGAGTGGGGATAGGGGGTTAGAAAACGGGGGAAGGGAGAGGACAGAAAAAGACAAAAGAACCTATTTCCTCCTCTCCCTGTTCCAACTCAAAATAGCCAGAGAGAGATAGACTAAATTGATCCTAACAATCGTTCAATTATTGGTCTCCCGTGAAAAAGAATGCTGAAGGCACATGTGAGGTTTATTTATAAACCAGCTCCTCTTCCCTCATGGAAGGGATCCCTAAACACGTCTGTAATACCGAAGGCTGTCCTCCAGCCAGCTGCAACCGCCAGCTCTCCAATGGATTTCCAGTCACACACCTTTGGACCACAGGAAGCCCAGATTTGCCATTTCACCTTGACACTTATCAATGATTCACTCCAGATTTGGATTGAAACAAACAAAAGCAATTCCCCCTAGGTCTGCTATCAGCCACACTCCTCCAGGCTGGGCACCTTTCACCCTAAACCTCTGCCTGGGTTGTCCCAAAATAAATGCACCTACACTAAAGTCCATGTCCTTGCTAAGTCTACTCCTTCCTACAGAGCTCTGTCCCAGGAGGCGCCACAGTGAATGACTATGCGGGTTATGGTGGGTGTGGATGACAGACTTCCCTCTCGGTGCTGCAGGTGTGGAGGGACCACTAGCATTTGGTTTGTGTTTTTTTTTTGTTTTGTTTTGTTTTGTTTTTACAGGCCACTCAGCTCCTTCCAGTCCACTATTGTAAATGATCCTCATTAACAGCCCTGATTTACTGGGGAGGACACGGAGGCTCCAGGGAATAAGCCTTGCCAAACATTTCAAAACCAATCACCAGCAAGCCCTGGACAAACCTGTCTGCTAGCTTCAGAAACTCACTAGCGACACACACACACACACAAGATTCATGCCACAAAAACAACCAAGAGATCAGAGCTGTCCAGGAGAAAGTGACAACTGCAAGGGCCCAGACCTGGACTCCTCTGAATCCAGCCCGCCCCAGCCACAGAAACTACCAAGTGAGAGTTAAAAAAACATTCACACCAAGTGAGAGTTAAAATTTGCCTTCTCCTTCCCCCCCCCCCCCTGCAAACAATCAATCTCTCTCTCTCTCTCTCTCTCTCTCTCTCTCTCTCTCTCTCTCTCTCTCTGTCTCTGTCTCTGTCTCTCTCTCTCTCTCCCCTTTGGTGTTTTAAACTTAAGCGCCCTCAGGAGAAAGGCAGACCCTTGAAAAGATTTGGAGAAGAAAAGAGGGTGAGAGAGAGAGAGAGAGAGAGAGAGAGAGAGAGAGAGAGAGAGAGAGACAGACTAGGTTCCGGCGACAGCGAGCCAATACAAAGACCCCATCCCTTCCCTCCTCCCTACACTTGGTGGCCCCTGGGCAGCCCGGTCCTCTCACTCACACACACCCCAGCCCTGCGCGTGGGCGCAAGCCCACCCCGCTCCACGGTACCTGGCTGCCAGGGCGGCCTGCCCACCCGGGGGCGCCGCGCCACCGCCTCTGCCCATCCGTCTCCGAGTGCCCGTGGGCTGGGAGGAGGCGCCACGGGACCGCCGTGGCAGCCCTTAATGTGGTGGTATTCGGGCAAAACTTTCCGTGCACCTCGGGAACTAACATTGTGTGTGCCTCTTTCTTTTTCCTGTTACGCCCGCCCGTCAAGGCAGGGGGCAGTGAGGGGAATGGCTCAGCCCTCTCCTTCCCGGAACGCAGTCCGTCTCCGCTCCGCGGAGTTCACGGAACGCTCCCGGCCGGTCGCCGGCTCCGGCGAGAAGTAACTTTCCAGGAAGCCGCGGGCCTCCACGGCCCCCGTGCGAGGGATCGCCGTCTGGCCGCGCGGGCTGCTGGGGATTCACCGGGACGGGGGCGGGTGGGGGCGCCCCCCTCCCCTCCAGGCTGGCGGGGAATGCGGACACTTTCCCTTAAATCCGAGGGCCGCGCGCATCCATCCAGGGGACTCATAGCTCGCGAGTCCTACCCTTCCCCGGACAGTTTTACTAGAATAAAAGGGGGTGGTTGGGCTAGTTAGTAGCAGAGCAGACCCTAGACTCCAGGATTTGGGGTCCAGTCTGAAGCTCATTTCGTAACTTCAGGGTGCCCAAGTCTGGCATTTATTTGCCTGGGGCGTTTCTCTTCTCTTCTCTTCTCTTCTCTTCTCTTCTCTTCTCTTCTCTTCTCTTCTCTTCTCTTCTCTTCTCTTCTCTTCTCTTCTCTTCTCTTCTCTTCTCTTTTCTCTTCTCTTCTCTTCTCTTCCTTTCTCTCTCTCTCTCTCTCCCTCCCCTCTCTCTCTCTTCGCTTGGCCCCGAATTTCCTTTTAAAGAGGACAGTTAGGCGAGGCGTCCAGGCCTGCAAGGTGGAAGGCTCGGGGTCTCTGTGCAGCGCACTCCGGCGAGTTGGAGAAACCCTTACTAATAGCCCTTCCGCCCACGTTGGCAAGTAGGGGAACACAACTCGGCTGGGTTTCCGCCCCAAGCCATTGAATAAAGAGCTGCCAGGCCGAACCTGGCCAGGTTTCGGTTTTTCCGAATTCTATTTCTCCGAAACCCCGTTAGAAACAAACCCCGTTAGAAACAAGGTTGGGACTTAGGAGAGGCCAGGACGCCGACCCCGCCGCGTGCGCGCGCGCGCGTGCGCTCCAA